GGGAGGGTTACGAAAAATGGGCAGAATGGAGTGATCAAGGTCCACCCGCCAAGTCCCAGGGATGGAGAGACCCCTGCCCCCACTGTGGTCCTACAATGAGACCCTCACCCTCAAACATGAAGGTATCAGCCTCTGCTCGTATGTCCTCATCTGACAACTCCTTCCCATCTTCATCCTGGAGACAAGGCAAGACCTCCATAATTACACCAGCTCTGAGGGCACCAGAGTCTAATTGAAAACCATCCCTGAAGGCCCATCAGCCAACTAGGATCCCTCCCTTGTCATCTCCAGAGCCTGCCCCACAGGCTTCTCCCATGGTCTCCTCTTTCTTGTTTGTGCCTTGCGGGTAGTCTTCTACAGAGTCAACTCTAAAACTTATCTCTGACTTGTCCCTCCCTTCCTCAAGCACCTTCCATGGCTGCCCAGTGACCTCTGGATCAAGTCCAAGTTCTGGATCAAGTCCAAGTTCTTCCGTCTGACATTTGGCATCAAGGTCCATTCTACCTCTTGAATTCACACCCCAGAGAAGCTCACCTTGGCCAGCAGGAGCACATCAATGAAGTCCAAAGTCTTGGCCTTGGTCTTGGTCTTGAGGAAGTCATTAACACCCTGGCTTGCCAGGGTGCGGCGCCGCTCCTGGATGACGGCATCTGTGAAGTCATGCACCAGGTTGCAGGCTTTGCGGAAGCGACGGCCATCAGGAGTGAGGTGGTACAGGAAGTCCATGTACAGGAAGATCTTTTGTACCCGTTTCACTACGAGGGCGCTGAGATCCAAGATGGCAGCAATATATTCACTGGGACTCCTGCAGGGCCAGGCCAGGGAGAGGACGCAGCTTCTTAACACACATGAAACCCAGGAAGCACCTCCCAGCCAGAATCCCTGGACCATATTCCACCCAGAAAAGGGTGTCCCCCAACCACACTTCCCCCTTACTCCCACTCTCTGTGAGCTTTCTCATGCCCCAGGTTTCCAGGGAAAAACTTGGCCATCAAGGTCATCCCCTCTCTCTCTTATTCAACATCTAGTCCTGCCCATTCCTCTTTGGTTTCTCCCAGATCTGTTCCATTTCCTCCACCAAGCTCAGACCTCTTCCTCTCCATGGTCTCCTTGCATCCTGAGTCTACAAGACAGTCCGTCCTCTATGGAGTCAAGTGTCCAAGCTCTAACCATAACCATCTGCTCAAACACCTTCCATAATTCCCTGGGAACCTCAGGATAAATTTCATATCCTTTCTGTGGCTTTTCAGTGTTCTTAAGATCTAGCCACTGCCTGCCCCTCCAACCTCATTTTCAAGGTGCCTTTTCTCACTGCTTGTTGCACACACTCTGCTCATTCTAACCTTCCCACCTTTACTCAAACAATCACACCTTCCTGGAAGAACTGCTCTTTCTCTCTCCCCTTCCCTCTTCTTCAGTGCCTAGATTTGACCCACCTCCTCAAGGAAGGCTCTTCTGGTGGTTCTGGTCATTCCTCGCACTGCACCCACTCCCATGGGTCCATGGCCCAAGTTCTCAGGCCCTGGGAAGGGACTCACTCTTGACAGTTGCTGTCAAAGCTGAAGACACATTTCTGCAGACTGTCCAAGGTCATGAGGCTGATGTGCTCAAACATGTCCAGACGTGTGATGCCCTCTGAAGACAGGCGCTTCCACTTGGCCTGGACAGAGAAGGGGACAGAGCTGGGACTGTGCCCTGCCTCCCTTGAGCCTCTCTCCAACCCCAACCGCCAGGACGGACTTCCCCAGAAGTCCACCAGGACTTCTGCCCCATACAGCATCCCCAGGGAGGACCAGCTTGGTGGGAGTGGAAGCTCTTCCTATTAGGAGATGAAGCTAAGGCTGGGAGTCAGGAGAACTATGTTCAAGTTCCAGTTCTGCCTCCTCCACTCTGTGTGCCCTTGGTAAACTCATTGCCATCTCCTAGGTCCCACCTGTCAAATCTTCAGTAACAGTTAAGTTAACCTGCTTTGGTATCAGATAAACTAGTATATAACTCCTGATCCACCACTCCTAGCTCATTTACTAGCTGAGCGAACTTGGACAAACTCCTTTATTGCTCTGACCCTCAGTTTTATCACCCATATAACGTGACAATTATAATCATTTCTACCTCATAGGGTTGTAACATTAAATTAGACACTAAATATGATGGAACTGACATATTTCTGGCATATAGTAAATGCTTAATCAATTTTAGCTATAATTATCATCTTTATCATTAGCATAGTGGTAGGTGATTGTGGAAATGTTACAAATGTTACATTCTTTCCAATAGCCTCACTCTTTGTAATGAGACTTTGCAGCTTCTTCCATTAGGAGGTGAAGCCTGTTTCTCCCTCTCCTGAATGTAATCTGGACTTGTGACTGGCTTTGGCTCATAGAAAGTGGTAAAAATGAGGGCATGCTGACTACCCAGATAGATTCAACCCAAAAAGTCCAAGACACATCATAGTCAAACTGTCAAAAGTTAAAGACAAAGAGAGAATTCCAAAACCATCAAGAGAAAAGCTCAAGTCACTTACAAGACAGTCCTCATCAGACTAACAGCAGACTTCTCAGCAGAAACCCTACAGGCCACAAGAGAATGGGATCATATATTCAAAATCCCAAAAGAAAAAACTGCCAGCGAAAAAATATTAGACCCAGCAAACCTATCCTTCAGGAATGAAAGAGATACAGAGCTTTCTCAGACAAGTAAAAATTAAGGGAGTTCCTCGCCAACAGTCTGGCCTTACAAGAAATTCTTAAGGGTGTCCTACCTCTAGAAGAGAAATAACAACAATAAACATCATGAAAGCGTAAAACATACTGGTAGAATAGATACACAAATTAGAAATAGAAAGGAATCAAACTTCATCAAGATAGAAAACCACCAAACTGCAAGGATAAACAATAAGGAGAGAAAGGAACAGATAATATACAAAACAATCAGAAAACATCCCACAAAATGACAGGAGTAAGACCTCGCATACCAATAACTTGAATGCAACTGGATTAAATGCCCTAATTAAAAGACATAGACTGGCTGAATGGATTTTTTTAAATGAGCCATTTATATGCTGCCTACAAGAAACACACCTTACCTATGAAGACACAGATAGACTGAAAGTGAGGGGGTTGTAAAAGTTATTCCATGCAAAAGGAAAACAAAAGTGAGCAGGAGTAGCTATACTTACTGCATAAAGCAGACTTGAAATCAAAATCTGTACTAAGAGACAAAGAAGGGCATTGCTATGGGACAAATGTGTCCCACAAAGTTCGTGTATTGAAAACTTGATCTCCATTGTAACAGTGTTAAGAGGGTGGGAAATCCAATTATGTATTTCAAAGGTGTGCTTTAGAGAGGTTACTGCATCACGAGGACTGCGCCCTCATGAATGGATTGATCCATTCATGGAATAATGGGTGTGGTTCTGATGGCTTTATAAGTAGGGCAAATGAGATGGTTAGCTCTCTCTTGCTAAGCCCATTCTCACCATGTGACATCCTGTTCACTATGGGACCCTGTAAAGTGTTCCCACCCAGAAGAAGGCCCTCACCAGATGTGTTCCCTGGACTTTGGATTTCCCAACCTCAGAAACTTTAAGAAACAGATTTCATTCCTTTATAAATTACCCAGTTTCAGGTATTCTGTTATAAGCAACAGAAACGAACTAATACAGGCACTATGTAATGATAAATGGATCAATACAGCAAGAGGGTATAACAATTATAAATGTACATGTACCCAATGGAGCATCCAGATATATAAAGCAAATATTATCAGATCTAAAGGGAGAGACAGACACCAATCAATAATAGTTGGGGACTTGTAACACCCCACTCTCAGCACTGGACAGATTATCAAAACAGAAAATCAACAAGGACACATAGGATTTAAATGGCAGCATAGATCAGATGGACATAAAAGACGTATATAGAGCATTTCACCCAACAGTTGTAGAGTATTCTTTTCATCAGCACATGGAATATTCTCTAGGGCTGACCATATGTGAGGCCACAAAATAAGTCTCAACGAGTTCAAAAAAATCAAAATCATGTCAAGTATTTCTTCTGACCATAATGGAATAAAACTAGAAATCAATAACAAGAGAAACTTGCAAAGCTACACAAATACATGGAAATTAGACAACATGCTCTTGAATGACCAATGGATCAGAGAAGAGATTAAGAAGGAAATAAAAAAAATTCTTGAAACTGATGCAGACAGAAACAAAACCTATCAAAATGTATAGGATACAGCCAAGGCAGTATTAAGAGAAAATTTTATAGCAATAAACACCAATGAGAGCTCAGCAGTAATATTTATCTATTGGTAGCCTCGTTACATATGTTATCAAATATACATGTGTCAAGGGCATTCATGGTGATGGTCATAGCAGCACTGTTTGAGGTACTTAGGGGCTTGTTTGAGGTACTCAGGGGCCGGAAATGGCCCAGATGAGATGTTATGTAAACATGATATATTGCTGCATACCACTAAAAACGAACTAGCTAAAACATGCAATACAAGTGTGGTCAGTCTTACAGAGGAGGAGATGGGGCTCAGAGAGGTTAAATAATTTGCACAAGGATGTAAATTGTAGAGATGGAATTTTTTTCTTCCGGCTTTGCTTTTCTTTAAAAGTGATTTTACTGGGCCGGCCTGGTGGCGCACTGGAGAGCACGGCGGTGCTCCTGCCGAGGGTTCGGATCCCATGTGGAGACCGGTTCCCGCTCACTGGCTGAGCGCAGTGCGGGCACAACACCGAGGGTTGCGATCCCGTTGCCGGTCCCCAGTACGGGTGCGACACCGAGGGATGCGATCCCATTACCAGTCAGTAAAAAAGACAAAAAGGAAAAAATAAGTGATTTTACTGAAGTATAATTTATGTAGAATAAAAACACCACTTTTAAGTATACAGTTTGATAATGATTTTTGAAAATGTATACAGTTGTATAACACCTACTGCAATCAAGGTATAAAACATTTCTGTTACTCAAAAAAAATAGAAAGATTTCACATAAACAATCTAACAATGCATCTCAAGGAACTAGAAAAGCAAGAATGAACCAAATGCAAAATAAGTAGAAGAAAAAATAATAAAAATCAGAGCAGAAATAAATGAAATGGAGACTAAAATACAATACAAAAGATCAGTCAAATGAAAAGTTGGTTTTTGGGAAAGATAAAATTGGCAAACCATTAGCCAGAATAACAAGAAAAAAAGAGAAAAGACCAAAATAAATAAAATCAGAAATGCAAATGGAGGCATTGCAACTGATACCACCAATATACAAAAGATCATCAGAGAGTATTATGAACAACTATATGCCAATAAATATAAAAACATAAAGGAAATGGATAAATTCCTGAACACACATGACCTATCAAGACTGTACCAAGAAGAAATAGAAAAATTA